CATACAAGCTTTCCTATTCGTCAACTTGATTGGTCAGTTTTTGTTGATTTCATGTTGCAATTCGTTCAAAAACTGCCTCTTGAGGCTTCCTCCATATTGATATATTATGCGATATTATCTATTGATGTAAATTCTTCATAGCTGTCTTCTTCTTCTTCTTCTTCTTCTTCTTCTTTGTGACATGTCCCTTCATGACGTTAGCGAGCATGCGTCACCAAAATTTCCTGTATTTTCTTGTATTGGGTCGATGCATAATTATCAGGCGTTTTTGTAAGCGAGTTATTTGTTAATAAAAATTGCTGTTTTGTTTACCTTTTTTAAATAAAAATATTAGTTTATTTTCAGGTTATAAAAATGCGTATCGATAATCATATACTCCGGAATAAAAATTTAAAAATGTTATGTTTGAATTATGTTTTCTTTTTTCATAATAAATATTGTTTAAAAACGCCTGATAATTATGCACCAACCGAATAGCGCTTTGTAAAATTTGTGTTTTTGCTAAAATGATATTTTCCTTTTTTTTTAGTTCATTTTCTCTTAAAATTCCTTCGATAATATTGAAATCTCGCTTTCTCACTTTTTAATTGCGCTATCATCATTATTGTGTTTAATACTCATCATGCTCGACTTTTAGATCATTAGTGTTGAGTTCGAACCTCATTGGCTTCCTCATAGTTGGAGCATTTTTTTAAGCTTTTCACCCCATGCAAGACGGGAGTGCCACTAGCAGGCGAGGGGTTACAGAGAGCGGGAGAAAGAGTAAAGACGCGTGATAGAGGAAAAGATGAAAAGGACAATTATAGATCAAGGCATCTGGAGATATTGATTGATATTACATTTGAATAGTTGGAGATTATAGCTATCAGGGAAGCAAGTAAGAGGAAGGGAGTTCCACAGACGGGAAGTGCGAGACATGAAGCTATTGGAGTAGACGAGACGGCTACATTTAACCGTTTAGACAGTGAAAGGGTGGGATATTTACCGTGAAAGTATTTGTAGAAAAGGCAGAGGGAGGTGACGGCGCGTCTGCAAGAGAGTGACTGTAAACAAGATGCCAGCTCAGGGCCAACCAAATTGCATATTTGTCTCTGGATATTGTCGAGGACCTTAAGACGAACAGCGGGGACTCCAGACCATATATGACAGCAGTATTCCATGTAAGGGTGAATGGTTGATTTATAGATTTGAAAGATGGACTCGGACGAGCTTTGTGCTAATCTAAACCTCTTCTTCTTTTATGAGCCGCATTACTGCAGGACGGGGATTATCTTTGTTCTCCACAATTTTCTGTGCTTTATAGTCCTTAAGAAAGAACTATAAAGTATATAATTTTTGCTATTTCTTTTAATTCTTATTCTGCCAACCATTTAAACATACTTTTTAGGTAGGTTATGCACTGTTTTCCTCTGTCCACACCTTGCCTTCCATATATCTTGTGAGCATCATATATTCTAACGATTCTTTATTCATCATGTGTCCAAGATATGCCAGCTGTCACTTTCTCATGCTAAGTATAAAGGTCCTTTTTGTTTCCATTTTATCTATAACTGCATCGTTGTGCACATGTTGAATTCATGGTATACAAAGTATCCTTCTATCGAACCATATTTCCATTGCCTCAATCTTTTCTTCATTTGTAAGGAGATTGTCCAGCATTCACTGCCATACAGGAGCACCGACATGACATAACAGTTAATGTTATGACGTAACAGTCTAATAATACAAAAAGCTAGCCTTAAAACTTGCGTCATGAAATCGCGAAAGGCCAACAACTTCCTCAGTATAATAACTACCTATGTAAGTGTTGTGGATTCCGGAGATGGAATCCTGCACAAATAAATAAACAACGCCAGTAATTGAAATAGAAAAATATGTGTATTAAAGGTAAGAATACAAACTTGAAATGAAGATTAGTAGTCCAGGAATGCGAGTTAGTAGAAAATTATATTTACAAGTCTCTGTGAGTGAAGCCGTAATTATCTCCCTTTCCGGACTCTCGTATAAATCTGAGTGAACACCCTGTCTCGACGTTTTTGTCACGTTATCTCTCCGTAGTATAAGTATACTTTGGACGTGTCCATCTTGTGTACAAGGGGCGAGCCCCACAATAAGTAAGTATCTCTAGTTCAAAGAATTCCCATTATAATATAGTACTACTATTATAAATGTAATAAAACTGCTTTTGCTTCTTGATTTCACATTAAAATACAAGAGACGACTATACAACAATTTGAAAAAGTTCCATTGAGCAACATGCATAAATAACAAGTAACATAAACAAATCATTCGTTCATGATTTGTAGAGCTTTTGGTGCATTCACCCCAGTCATTATTTCTCATAGTAGTTTTAAATAAGAAAATTTACGATAACATGCAATCTATATTTCTAATTAAAATTTATTATCATTTTGGTGTTAAATAACAATAAAATTTACTGTAACATGCAAACTTTATTTTGCATTAATATACATTATACGGTATTTTTTGCGGTTATAATCAACAAAAGATTTAAGATGACATATATTTTTTTTATTTCTCATTACAGTATCAAAAGCACAAAACACCGGCATATATAATTAAAACATTTCAAAATTACTATAATCAACAACATTTGATGCAAATATCTCATCATAAACATCGTCATGAACTGTTTCGTCATATGGGTCACAGTCCAAATCTGGGGAATCAGCTTCGTCTTCGACTTTATTGTCTGCGTCATACAGAATATCATTTTCAGTATCATCCATTGCAATGGAAATACCGATTTTTTTATTTGTTGAATGAATTGACAACGAATTTCTACTTTTACGTTCTCCCAAGCGTTTATTACAAATTCACAC